TTGCATATATTCTGTTATTTAAAGATGTTTGTAGATACAAAATGTTTTTTTTAAATACAGTCAGCATGCACATAAATACACACACAGCGAAAGGTGGAGGATTGCAACTCTAAAAATAAATACTGCAGAAAAGATTGCATCCGTCATGTCTGTGGTGGAGAGAGAGAGAGAGGAGAGAGAGAGAGAGAGAGAAGGAGAGAGAGAGGAAAGCAGATCTGTACATTTATTCTGTAGTTTTATGTGTCTCTGTGTGTGCAGCATGTTTGGGCCTCAGTTCAAAGTGGTGTTGACAGCAGGGCTAATCGAGGGAAGGACGCGTAGAGAGTTGGTTCGATTAAAACCCAGAACTTCAAGCGCCTCGCTCCCTCTTCTCCTCTTCCTCTCCATTTCCTCCTCCTTAGGTCCTTCACATCACAAGGAACAGAAAAAGAAGAAAAAAAACAAGACACAAAATGAGAGAGACATATTAGGAGGGAGGAAGACAGAGTAATGGAGGGACCCGTATAGACAGAGTGATGTCTTTTCTCTATAGACACAGAAACACACAGAGGCCAATGAGAGATGGATGAAGAGAGCCAGAAAAAAATAGGGCTTCCCTCTTTCTTTTATCTCAGCTGTGAAAATAAAAAGCTGTAACAAGACTGGGACTCAGACAGAGAGAGAGAGAGATAGATCATGAGTGATAGTGCTTCAGACACTGAGACAGACGTGGAGAAACACACAATGACGTCCATATTGGATTGAGACCAGTTGGGAAAATGACAGCAGTGGATGTAAACAGATTCAAACTGAGGATGAGACTGGTTCACAACTGATTTACAATCTATACATTGTTAATATTGCATCTCTGTCCGTCCTGGCAGAGGAATCCTTCTTCTGTTGCTCTTACTGAGGTTTATTACATCTTTTCCTCCATTAAAGGAGTTTTTTTCTCCCTTGCCTGAATAAAGGGTCTGAGGCACTGGTTCCCAACCTGGGGGCTGGGACCCCCACTAGAAGTCACAAAAGCTTCACAGGGGGGCGCGAGGCCTTCTTGATTTGAATGAAATGAAAATTGTTCTTTACCTTTTAGTAATTGTTATGTTTATGTTACCTAAACTCTGAAGACCTGAACACAAGCTATATTCACAGAGCCTGTAAGTACAAAGTTAAAACAACCAAAGAGCTAATAGAACAAATGTTGAACAAGTGTCAGGGAGAAGAAAACACTGAAGAAGCCTATTTAAATATGTAGGAAAAAAACATAATAAAGACAGAAACTTGTATAAAAACTCATCTCTGATGCAATATTTATGGAAAATAATCTGCTCAAAAATCATTCAAATCACTTGTTTTACACAAACTTCTGCAGTTATTGTGTTCACTATTTGGGTTCAGTGTACAGTTTATATTATATATATATATTATATTATATTATTAATATTAAATATCCATGATATAGAAGTGGGCCCCTTACGGTAAAAGGGTGGGAACCACTGGTTTAAAGATAGAGGATGTTGTATTTTAAAGCCCCTTGAAGCAAATTTGTGATTTGTAATACTAAATAAAATTTACTTGACTTTATCCTATCACAATGGTAGCCAAATACCTTTCTGTGGATCATCTAATTGTTACTGCTGGAATTAAGTTAAAGCCTACTTCATGTGACTAACAAAGTGAACAGTGAACTATATGTCCTGCTTGTTTACAATTATTGTCTTTTGGCTAATTCTGGCATTTCTTTGTGTATTCCATGTGTATTTATTAATTTGCACTCTCCCAATGTTTCATTTCCATCAGTTTTTTAATCAGTAGAAACCAACCAGTATGATCTTATTTCTTTTTATTTCAGTGTGTTTTGTAAAGATGAAGTGACACCACCAGGATCTGCCGACGACTTCACAGCTTGGATGTTTCCATCGGACGAAACGCAATACAAACGTGAGTGAAACTCATTTGTGGTTGCCTGTGGACCAGAGTCGGGGGGTCGGAGGACGGATTCCTCCCAGTCTTACACTTGTGATAAGGCTCCCTGTCAGTTCCCAGTAAATCTTTCTGTCTGCACGTTCTGATGAAAACATAAATAGCCTGGATTTTAAGCGTAATCCACATCTGGATGCCGAAGTTATGGTGGACATTGCTCACATAGCTCCACGCTCAGCTGTTTATTGATGAACATAATCAGATAAGGATTATGTTCATCAACTTGCCAGTACACACAGATGTGGTCACCGTGAATGTTTGTGTGTGTGTGTGTAGGCAGATGTTTTTCATCTTTTGTAGAAGATGATGAACATCTAAGTGTTTGTGCAGGGTTGTGTATGTGTGTGTTGGAAAGTACAGATGTTTGTATCTTTTGAGGACTCGGAGAATCCAGGCGTGCGTGTGTGAAGAGTCCAGATGTTTGTATCTCCTCAGGAAAATAGAGATGTACACTGTGTGTGAAGAGTTTATGTCAACAGTTTTAAGAGATTAAGTTACTTTAGACTCTTTTAATCTTTGCTCTGGCTCGGCCTAAACACACAGGAACCCTGGATATCGCCACATAGCACAACACACAGCGGGGAGAGGGGGATGGAGGTGAACAAGGAGCGAGGGGAGGTCTGCAGAATGAGTTAAAACCGAGAGACAAAACGGAGCCAAAGGAAAAAGAGATACAGACAAAGAGAGTGATGGAGACAGGATGGTGGAAGAGATGCAGACAGGCCGAGATAAAGAAATCTGAGAAAATGGAAAAAAGGACAGGAAAGAGGAGAATGTGAAGAATGGTCGGCTGAAATGTAAAGCCAGAGAAATGACAGCTGCAGAGGACAACTCCTCTCACACTCTCTTCTTTCCTTTAACCTACGTCTTTTTTCTCATTTCCTGTGGAAGAAGTGAATGCTGTCTGTCCTTCTCTGTCCCCGTTCTCCCCTTCGCTTTATTCACACGTCTTGTTTACATACAGCTGTATTCAGGCTCAGATACTGTGAGCAAAAACTGAAAGAAAATGTCTGTATTTAACTCATAAAATGAATAGAACTGTCTCAGGGTTATTATATTTAATTAGTTACTGCTGTGTAAGACTTCAGGATTTCTATATAAACCAGTCATGAAAGCAAGCAAGTACTTTCACTCAACCTAAGTAGATTTATTTCTTCTGTACTTGACTCTTTCCTTTTCCTTCTACTTGTGTTCCTCAACTTTTCAAAGCAAAGTACTGCAGTTTCGGCTTCGCTATGTTCAGAGGTTGATTAATTTTTTTTAAACACACATAGGCCCGAAATACAGTCACACACACACACAGGGCTTATAGACATACAAATGTGCAGAGATGGTGGAGTGAGGACTGCCGTTCAGTGGCGCCTCGGGAGCAGTTAGGGGCATTTCTTTACTTTTGATACTTTAATACTTCTGTTCTTTTACTAGAAGCTGCACTAATCAGTGGTTTAATGGATCAATGACATGCAGTGTTTATGAATGTGTGCTGTGAAAGAGGTCGCTCATAGTGACGGTACCCACAGAGACATATCACACATTACGACTCTGCAGTTCCCCCTCTGGAGTGTTTTATCGTCTTTCAGCTCATTTTGGTGTCGTGACCCACAGCTTTACTGTTTGGTTCAGCCATAGTCAACCTCATTTCCAGCCGCAGCAGGCTGCTGTCTTCAAGCCCTGATGGACCTGCTGTAAGCTACCTGCTCAGCAGCAAACAGCAGGCAGACAAAGTAGCAGCTAAAGAGCCTGATATTTCCATCAGGACTGCTCATTGAACTTATATTTGTCAGGTGGACCCAAAATTATCTCGAAATTCAAAGCACTCTGAAACCAATATGACTTTATTTTCGTCACCCTGAGCATTTTACCTCTTAACCCTCACTCCCTTTTTTTTTTTGTCTATCTCAGTCTTTCACTTCTTTCCTTACATGCGCCTCCTTTCTTTCCTCTTCAAACTGAAATCTAAACATTTTGACAGGCAGATTGTTAAAAGCTGCTGTTAACAGAACTCGAGTTCAGTGCAATCGATCAGATGAACTAAAAACAAAAACCTCATCGTACCACTGTGTTAAGTTATCATCCATTACAAAATCAAATGCTTTTAGATGTTTAGTTTGTCCAGCAGCCACTCTGGCAGGAACACAACCAGCTTAGATGTTCATTTCACCACCAAATACCAGTAAGGTGTGATATTTATTCTGTTTTTGCTACGATTTCCCCTCCGTCCCCGACCTTTGACCTTCTGAGTGTGTGTGTGTGTGTGTGTGTCAGAGGTCATGATGTCCCAATTCAAGACTCAACTAGACTTTCCAAGACTTTCTAGCATCACACTTGGCCTCGAGGCGTACCCATAATACTAACCCATAATAATAATACAGCTCATGAAGAAAGATAAACAGGCTGTGATGCAACATGAAACTGGCTGTCCACACCCTCGATGTTGGTGTTTATAGCCAACTCTTTCTCTTCCAAAATATGTTTAGATATTAGTTTACTTTGCCAAAAATGTTTCATTTCCAGTCCAGAGGCCTGAACCACAAAGCAAGTCCAATTTCATCTGGCTCGCTTTGGTTCACCTGCTTCACTGAGACTAACATTAGTCATCTTGAGCAATGGGTTTAAGGAAGCTCTTAACTTTTTCCAGTCCAGCTACATAAGACAGAGTTGTTGTTTTAAGTACTATTTTTATATGTATATGCCCACATTAATGTATTTCACAACGTCACCTGACTATTGTTACCATGACACGCAAAAAGGTTAAAAGGCATAGACATAGATGCAAAATGTCCTCAAAAGTGACTATTTAAGTGCTATTTATACACCATCCTGTGATATTGTATATATATATATATATATATATATATATATATATATATATTGATTATCATCAGAAAAGGTTCTGGGTCAAAGGTTTTTGTTTGGTTAAAAATATCCGGGGTCCTTGATAGCGAATGAAAAAACGTTATATGTCTCAAAAGAATGAATAAAAACTCTGAAAACAATTAAATATCAGTGAGAATTCTTCTTACTGAGTACATATACATACATATAACTGGCTGCTATTTCTGGAACTCTGTGTGTGTGTGTGTGCTTC